AAAAAAAGTCTGTGAGACTCTTATCTCCAATAAACGACTCAGAAAACCCCAGAAGTGGGCTGTGGCTCAAGTGGTAGAGTGCTAGCCTTGAGCCAAAGACACTGAGGTGCCCAGGCTCTGAGTTCAAGCCCCAGAACTGGCACTCAAAAAAAGTGATTATCAGCAAAGAAACAGAACATTTATTCAGAACTAAGTTATCCTGCTTAAGTTTTCTTCCTACCCTGACTAATGCTGTAAGTCAGGTCTACCTTCCTAGAAGGAAAGAGCACAAAACCAGAAATATCATTTTAGTCTAAGTATTAATCTAGAAATAGGAGGCTAGATGAAGCTCCACACCTATGCTGGGATCTGCCATCCTCATTCACCAGCAAGTCCTGATCTGAAGCTCCATCCATGACCCCAAGGTCTCCAGGCCAGGGGGGCTCCAAATCTCCCCAGTATCTCCAAGCCTCAGTTTAGGCCTCTATATCATGAAATGATCACAGCCAATGCCCACGTCATTCAGAATTATTATGATTGTCCTAGGAAGTGGTCATACACAATGCTTGCAGAATTATTCAGAACTATTATGAATTATTATGATCTAAGAAGAAAAGACATTCTTGGAAAACTTTTAGAGAAAAAAATGAAAGTCTGTGAGTGTCCATGATTCTTATTACCACATGCCATTTTTCCCAAGGAAGAATTCCAGGTGCCCTGGATAGAATGAAGTCCTTAGGCCATTCACTCTTCAGTCTTGAACTCACTGTACTTATAGTTCCAAGTGATATAATCCATGTCTGGTTTTTGTGCCAGACAGTACACTCCATAAAGGTAGGGATTAAATTTCCTGTTCCTTTTATACAGAGGAATCATGAGATAGATAGACACATGCATACAGACAAACATAGACACATACATACACACGTAGATGCATATGATCAAATAGGTATATATACATAGACATAGATTGATTTGATTGTTATATCCTTTTGAAAGAAACCAGTTACGTGACCCAATCTGGCCACTGTCACACTTGTCATATGAAATTGATGTTTGAATAGTGATTAAAAATTGAATTATAGGAGAACTCTGCATAAAATTCGAGGTGAACCAAGGTAAGTAAATGGCCTTTGGGGATTCCTCTGGCTTTCCTGTTCATTCTCAACACCTCTCCATTAAATGCCTTACCATAATAAATAAGCATGTGTGTGTGTGAGCGCGCGCGCATGCACATTACAGAGAGAATGTACATATACACATTGCTTAGTGACTTTTTAATAACTCCCATTGCATCTGCCACTGCCCCACTGAAATTTACATTTCCTGTGCTTATTATAATAGACTTCTAATTTAGCATCCATGAGAACATGGTAAGATGGGGTTTGTGTTCAGGTAGAGAAAGAACCCTGAAGATGGAGAAACTGGCATACTTGCCTTTTTAATGCAAAGCTGGGTGAAGGCATCCTGAAGACACAATCACGTTTGCATGTGAGTCTAAATGTTGATGATTTTAGTCATGTTCAATCTTACGTTCCCATTTGTAAGATTAGCTCATATTAAACTAGTTGCTAAGCTATCCTGCCTCTGATATAAAATACTGAGCTTGATAAGACACATTTAAATTAAAAGATGGTTTTACATTAAAATTTAAACATCTCCTGAATACAATATATACAAAAATAATGAGCAAGGAGATTAAAAGCTAGCTGAGAGCTGGGAGGGAAACACAAAGATAGAATGATATGAGCATTTTGATGATGTTATTATCCTGCTCTGAAGTTTATGGGCTGGGGATGTAGCTCAGCAGAAGAACATTTCTGGCATGTGTAAGGCCCTCAGTTTGAAGTCCTGCACTGCAAAAAAATAAAATGCTCTTTACACGTTGACAATGGACATTCATATACATTAAACATTTAAGTCAGGGACTGGTGCTGTCTCTGAGCATGTGCGCATACACACACATACACACACACACACACACACACATAGTTTTACAGTTGGGGGCTTTTTTTTTTTCCTAATGTTCCCTAGCACTGTTTTTCCTGGGGTATTGTCTTGATATAGAAGGGATATTCACTCAACACTAGACAGGAAAATCTGTTGAGCCTAGTGTTTTTTAACAATTGAGGTGAGTTTATTAACCATATTCTGTTCTTTCTTGAATCTGTTTCTTGATGAGAAATTATACTGCCTTTTAAATTATGATCTTCCTCATGTTCATACCTGTCCCTGGAACATAGAGGAAAAACCTAGATGCATCAAAGGCAAGGATAGTGTAAACAAAGTTATCAATGACCCATTAGAGTCCCTTAAACTTTGTCTCAAAATAACCAGCTGTCATTCCGGGTATCTGTTCTTGGTATAAGAAAACATTTGCTCTAAGTTTAGTATTTTTAAATTGGATGTTTTGAGTCTTTAAAGCTTAAATTCTGTGGGTCTGTTTTAATCACAGGATGACCTTCATCATTGTTTCCATTCTGTGATTTTTGCATTCTTATTTGCATATATTAATTAGATAGAATTAAAGTTCACGATGACATTTTAAACCTGTATGTAATAAATTCTATTTCTTGTATATAATTGAGAAATGCATTTCTTTGATTGTAAGTTAATGGAAAACCTAATAAACTGCCATGACAAAAGTCCAAAAGAAATCATTTAATTGATTTATACAGCAAGATGAATGACTAAGAAATGTAGAATGAGATTGGAATGGAGTAAAAGAAAGCAAGCTCTTGTCCAAATATTCATTCATCTGTTCAAAAAAAATTTAATAAATGATATGTGTCAAGTAGAGGCTACAGATTCAAGAGTAGCAAAAGAAAATCCTGCTTTCAGGGCATTTACACTTTAAAGGGAAAAGTAGAAATAGATACATAATAATAAGCAGTGAAAAAAGTTATGGTAGACTATCACAGGCAAAGCCCTGTTCTCCCCAGGTCATGGGAAAAGATCCTGAAGTTCATGGTGGTTAAATTTCTCAGAATTACAGTTAAAGTTCAAAAACTGGTGAAGCTGATTTCAAAGGTCGTGCTCTTTTGACCAAGCTGACTCTGGATTTGACACTGCCACCTTGAGATTACAGGAAGAAACACCACCAACTTAGGAAACTGGAGAGGCTTTATAGACCCACCCCCTCTTGCCTTCAGAGAGCGTTTCTCCCCTCTCCACCCATCTATTCTGGTTACCATAGTCCCATTCTCTGCTCATCTCTCTAAGCCTGCTGTGTTTTCCTGGCTAGTACTTCCTTCTCCTCCAAACTTCATGAACAATGCTATCTTTCACCTGCCTGATTCCCAGGTACCCATGAAAAAATGGTGTCTCCCTTAGGACCCAAGGTGTTATCTTCACATTCCATACAAGATTAAGGACATTACAGCCACAAAAGATACATGCAAAGAAACAACATGTGAACAAGAAACTGTGAACATGGCTATGTGTAAGTAGGACATGGCAAATTCGCCTTTGGAGTGTCGGGAAGGCATAGACTTCATTGCCTAAGACAAACCTTATCCATGTCCCAGGGGAGTTTCTCCCCTGTACTTGAGTCTTGGATGAATATTTCTTTTGAGGTTTCATACAGGAAGAATGGAACAGATCTTGGCGTCGACGGAGTCATCAACTGAATGTTTTTCCTTATAGACATACTTGATGAAAAGGAAATAGCACAGTTTCAAATGAGTTATACTACAGTGCTTTCTGCTATTTGTGGTGGCAGGAAAAATGAAATAATATAAGTAATACACACCCAGACTACCTGTCATAGGTAATACATTACTGTAGGATTTCTGCTGAATTGCATAACTTAAGTATAAGCAAATAGAAGATTGTAAAATTTATGACTAAAAAAATAAAAAGTAGCAATTTACTTGTCCATAAGAATGAAATTATTTTAATTGCAGAAACCTCAGAAACTGGAAGTGGCGCTGTGGCTCAAGTGGTAGAGTGCTTGCCTTGAGCTGAAGAGCTGAGGGACAGCACCCAGGCCGAGTTCAAGCCCCATGACCGGCCAAAAAAAGAAGAAAAAGAAAAAAAAGGAAACCTCAGAAACTTAGGAAGCTCATAGGATTTTTATTTCAGAAAACTCCTGTATATTAAGCTATAAAATACACGTCATTTTTGACAGAACCAGAAGTTAAAAAGGAAACATCAAGGAATCGAATATTTAGGAATCATAGATCCTGGCTTATTTCAGGGAACGTGCATACGTAGCTGCGAACCACTTTAGATAGGAATCAGAAGGATCATGATGCAAAGCCAGCCTAATTTAGCCCAATTTAGTGACAACCCATATCAAGAGAAAAAAAAAAGCTGGACAGGGTACATGCCTATAGTCCCAGAATCACCTAATAATCTAAGCTAATCAAATAATTAATTAATTTAGTATAATCTGTTGAATGAAGAAGTTAAAACTCTTTCAGGGCAGAAGAGAAACCATAGTTAAATGGCCACAAAGTATATCATCTCTCTCTAGACAAAGACCCAGGAATGGCATGGTTTTCTTCTGTAAGCCCAGACTATTTAGGTTAGAAAAGAAAACCCAGCCGGGCACCAGTGGCTCACGCCTGTAATCCTAGCTACTCAGGAGGCTAAGATCTGAGGATCGTGGTTCAAAGCCAGCCTGGGCAGGAAAGTCCATGAGACTCTTATCTCCAATAAACCACTAGAAAAACTGGAAGTGGTGCTGTGGCTCAAGTGGTAGAGCGCTCGCCTTGAGCTGAAGAGCGCAGGTACAGTGCCCAAGCCCAGAGTTCAAGCCCCATGACCCATCAAAAAAAAAAAAAAGAAAAAGAAAAAGAAAAAAGAAAACCCATCAGAATAAACTATTTCCAACCACCATGGGAAGACCCTGGCTCCATTTGTCTAAGTAGTCCTAGCTCCCAGACAGTTCAGAAAGTGACTTATCTACCCTACTATAACAACAGTTGATAAATGATCTGTCCACCTCATGACGGATGCTGCTAGCCCTAACATATCTTCTTCTCCCAAAGGTGACGTCAGACAGGGCCAGACCCATCATGAGCCAGACCAACCACACTACTGTGAAGGAATTTGTCTTCTTGGCCCTGACACGCTTCCGAGAGCTGGAGTTCTTCCTGTTTGTGCTCTTCCTCTCAATGTACGTGACAACCCTGCTAGGAAATGTCCTGATCGTGGTCACCATCACCTCGGAATCCCGCCTCCACACGCCCATGTACTTCCTCCTGAGGAACAAATCAATCCTGGACATTGTGTTTTCCTCCATCACCGTCCCCAAGTTCCTGGTGGATCTTGTATCGGAGAAGAAGACCATCTCCTACAATGGCTGCATGGCACAGATATTTTTCTTCCACTTTGCTGGTGGGGCAGATATTTTTTTCCTCTCCGTCATGGCCTGTGATAGATACCTGGCAATCGCCAGACCCCTGCATTACATGACCATCATGAGGAAAGAAGTGTGGCTGGCCTTGGTGGTGGCTTCCTGGGTAGGAGGTGGTTTGCATTCCATTGTCCAGATATTTCTACTGCTTCCACTCCCCTTCTGTGGCCCCAACACCCTGGATGCCTTCTACTGTGATGTGCCCCAGGTGGTGAAGCTGGCCTGCACCGACACCTTCGAGTTAGAGCTTCTCCTGATCTCCAACAACGGGCTGGTGACGCTGCTGTGGTTCCTCCTCCTCCTGGGCTCCTACACTGTCATTCTGGTGATGCTACGATCTCATTCTGGGGAAGGTCGGAAAAAAGCCCTCTCCACCTGTACCTCCCACATCCTGGTGGTGACTCTCCACTTCATGCCTTGTGTTTACATCTACTGTCGGCCCTTCACCACGCTGCCCATGGACACGGCCGTGTCCATCAATAACACGGTGGTCACTCCCATGCTGAACCCCATGATCTACACTCTGAGGAACCAAGAGATGAAGTCAGCCATGAGGAGACTGTACAGGAGAAGACTTGGGCTCTCGGAGAGCAGGAAGCGAGGGTGAGACACCCAGTGGAGATTGGAAGGCTGGGGCCGATTGCGTTTTTCTCTGACTGCTGGCCTGGTAAGAGACCTTCGGCTCTTTTTCGTCATTTTACTGCACATCTTGTATGATTCGCCATTCAATTCTCTTAGAGGGAAGATGTGAGCAAGACATGAACAATGCTAAGCTCTCTGGCTGATGGAGTAAGAAGTAAGATCCAAAGATAAGATTGAGACCAATAGACTAACTAGTACTTTAATGTCATCTATTGCTTTTACCCCCATAATGAACCTACTTTTACCACTTCTACTGCACAAATAGCACTAGCAGGGGGGAGGGTAAGAGAAGATGATGGAGGGGTTGATGTGATTGTACACATGTGTGGAAATGTCACAGTGAAATCCCACCTGCTTATATAGCTAATGTCTGGGGTTTGGGGGCTTAAAAAAATAGCATTGGCTACTCGAAAGGTTGTATGAGAATGAAGTATGATCCATATTTTGAGGCTGACAGAGATGGAGGTTAATTATGCATTAATTGTGCCTTCAGCCATTGTCACCTACTCTCTCTCTCTATTCCTAAATATGCATATAGACAAGCTAGAGACATAGCTATTTCATAATGCTCTCTCTAGTGATGTAATTTACAATTATTAAAATCTCTTGCTCATTTTATATTTTGAGTGGAGTATCTTATATGGTGTTTTGCCAATTACTGAAAAGAAAAGGAATATTTTTAAATCATGTTCAGTCAGATAGATGCATGGACAAATATGTTCAAAGGCCAATTATTTCTTGTCCTCGGGTCCATTCTGCTGATTTGCTCATGGAAATTAATTTTGAAGTTAATTGTCTAGTTTGGGGATATATTTGTATGAAATCCACAGTGACAATTTCTTTGGGGTAAACCTGTCTCCTCTTTCCATTTTACTCCAGGACTTTTATAACTAAGGGAGGACTATAATTTTTGTCTATGTGGGGACAATCCAAGTCATCATAATTCAAAGCAAAAGCTACCTTCAAAGAGGTTCCACTGTAATATTTCTGTAGATGCAAATGATGTACTATGATCCCATTCTCCCTGCCCCCAGGGAAGAATTGCAGCAATTAGATGTGTAGAGACAATGAATCGCCCTTGTCTTTCCATGCTTGCCTCAATTTTCGCCTTAATTATTATCAGCCACTTGAGATAGAGATAGAGATAGAGGTCATAAAGATACTTCTGGAAATGACACAAAGTATGAATTAAAGGAATATGAACTGAAGAAAAAAAGAACCACCAGGCACCAGTGGCTCATGCCTGTAATCTTAGCTATTCAGAAGGCTGAGATCTGAGGATCGCAGTTCAAAGCCAGCCCAGGCAGGAAAGTCCATGAGACTCTTATCTCCAATAAACCACCAAAAAACTGGAAATGGTGCTGTGGCTCAAGTGGTAGAGCATTAGCCTTGAACTGAAGAGCTGAGGGACAGTGCCCAGACCCAGAGTTCAAGTCCCACAATGGAAGAAAGAAAGAAAGGAGAGAAAGAAAGAAGAGAGAGAGAGAGAGAGAGAACCTCTAAGAAATAATATAAGGAAAGACAATACAGATTTCCATGAAGATGAAGAAGGAACAAACTGAGAAAAGTGAAGAATATAGAATATTCTAGACAGCTGACCTTGCACAGGTTCTTTGCAAAGTGGATAGGTCTGTGCAAGTCTTTTGGATAAAATGCACTTCCTGTCAGTACTGTGGAAGTGACTGGCCTCACAGATTGAATGAACTAGGGAAACAAAAGAATCAGCCACAATTTGTCTACATAAAACTTATCAAATCTCTCTATATCACTGGTCCCCTCTCCACCCCAATACATTAGCAGAAGTCCCAAAAAAAGTACTAATGAATAGTCAACATAAAATTGAGCTGAAGTTGGAATTATTATGTAATAGAGTATATTTCCCTTAATTTCTCCCAATTAAGGAGAAGGAAAGAATATTGATAGGGCCAATACCTAATTCTGTAGAGATTAGAGAGACTAACCCAAAAGGAAGACTTCAGACTCCAGCACACAGTGTCTTCAGATGAATAAATCACAACTAAGAAATATAAGAAAACTAGGAAATTCATAACCTACAAATAATATCAATATTACAATAATGAACTAGAATGACAGACCTCAAAGATAGGCTGATGAGAAGAAATGGAGAGAAAGGCATTCTGTTGTGCTGTTTGGTGGTAAAGTAGTGCAAGCAGTATGGAAATTAAAAAAAAAAACTAAATAAAGAACTGCCCTCTGACTCAGATATGCCACTCTGAAAAAATAGGATAGGTAAATAAGATAGGTAGGTAGGTGAATAGATAGATAGATAGATAGATAGATAGATAGATAGATAGATAGATAGATAGATAGATAGATAGATAGATATGGAATTTTATGCAGCCATCAGGAAGAATAAAATTAGCCATTTGCAGGGAAATAGGTGAATCTGGAAAAATATATTGAGCAAAGTAATAAAGTAATCCAGACCCAGAAAGACAAAAGGCACTTTTCCTCTAATAAGTGGATATTAAACCAACAGCTTCCCATGTAAACGTACACAAAGGCATATGTGTATATATATGCATATATAGTGTGTGTGTATATATACACATACATATATACATACATATTGGGTTTTGCTATGTAGTTTTGATTTGCATGTCCCGCACAGCTAAGGAAGCTGGCCATTTCTTCATGTATTTATGCAATCATACTTCTTCTTTGGGGAACTGTTTTAATTAATTTGCCCATTTATTGATTGGACTGTGTTTGTTTACATTTATTATTGAGCTATTTATAAATTCTGAAAGTTAATTCCTTGTCAGGCGAATATCTGCCGGAGCTCCCATGCTAGAAGTTGTTTCATCAATCTGTCACCTTTGATGCAAAGAAGCCTTTTAATTTGATGCAACCCTATTTGTCAGTACTTGCTCTGATTTCCTGAGCTATGAAGACAGTTGCTGCCTATGCCTATGTTTACAAGTATTTCCCCAATGTACTCCTGTAGTGATTCAAGTTTTAGATCTTACCTTAAGGTCTTTGATCTGTTTTGAATTAGTTGCCCCTGTCACACAGGATAAGAGGCAAGGATTTAATGTCAGTTTAAAATTTAGATATCCAGTTTTCTCAGCATCATTTTGTTGGAGATGCTGTCTTTTCTCTACAAACAGACAAGGGATGCTAGGGAAAAAACAAAGGAGGGGGTAACAATGCTCGATAGGAAATGTACTCATTACCTTACTCATGTAACTGTAACCCCTCTGTACAGTATCTTTACAATAAAAATAAATATTAAAAAATAAAAACAGACATAGGATTCAAAGAATCAAATAGAAAAATGAAATCGAATTATAGAATAGAAAGCATAAGGTGGAATAATACCAGTAAAGAGCTTACATAACTAGAACCATCTGATTTTTTTTGTCAGTTATAGGGCTTGAACGCAGGGCCCAGGTACAAGGCTAGCACTCTACCATCTTGAGCCACAACTCCACTTCCAGTTTTTGAGTGGTTAATTGGAGATAAGTCTCACAGGGACTTTTCTTCCTGGGCTGGTTTTGAACCATGATCCTCAGATCTCAGCCTCCTGAGTAGCTAGGATTACAAACATTAGCCACCAGTTTCCAGTCTGCCATCTGATCTTTGTACCGTTTTTTCTAGAACCTCCTTACAGTGGTCCCACTGCTGTTTCCTGTACTTTCTGGGCACATCTCAGGGTTTGTATGTCTGTATTGTAAACTAAGATTTATACCTCAACAGAAACAGTTCGTTTTAACAAATTTGAAATCTAGGCTCTACCATTATAAATGGGAAAAGCACTACCATAATAAATACACCATATAAATAGCACGAATAAGTAAAAGTTCAAGGTGACACATTAGGTGAAGTAGTTCACTTTCTTGCAGCATTCAAGCAGACGGATGAATCGTCAGAAGCAGTTTCATAGATTTCTGTTACTTTAGAAAGCCCTGCTCTTGGAGAATAAAAATAAATGTCTTCATTTCTTCTGCCTATTTCTTTTTTCTTCTTTCTGTTTTGCATTTTTTGAGATGATTGCTTACTATGTTTTCCAAGCCTGTCTTGGACTCATGAGCTCAAGAAGTCATCCTGCATTGGGCACCTGAGTAGCAGGGACTATCAGTGTGTCTTACTGCACATAGCTCTTCTCCAGAACATAGCCTTATTTGAAGAACAGAAGTCAGCGAGAGGAAATATACACTCACTGAGCATTTCAATTTAAAAAATTTTAGTAGTATTTACAATATTGCACTTGTGTCAGGGGCTATGAATAGGATAAGAAATAAAACATTATTCTTCTCAAGAATGCAGGAGAAAAGGAAAACTCAAACGAGGCCCAAGTACTTGTTAGATCTAAGCCCAGAGGAGTGCTAATGGAAGATACTAGAAGGGTGGCCAAGAGGCCTGGATTTCACAGGAAACTCAGGGAAAGATCTTCTTACTCAAGGTGACAAAGTTCATACCGTGGGGTCCATGTCCCACTGAAGCAGTCTTAACCCAAGGCCAAGTTCCCAACCAACAGAGTCGGGGATTGAGCTTTACTGTCCTCAGGGGACAGTTATTTAATTTACTCATATTGAGTAAATCAATCAGAAGAGGAACTTAATTTGTGTGTGATTCTTTCATCAGAGATAAATTATTAAAGACACCACAGAGTCTGAAGTTTAAATGATGTTATGTTTCTAATAAAACCTAATACCCTCTCTCTTCACTGTGCAGCAATGTAGCAGGATTTCTATTCAGTTTCTTTCATTTCCCTTTTAGGCTAGAATGCAAAAGTAATATAAATTGCTGCTGCAAATAACTCTAGTTCCTTTCTTTACTCTCCAACATAACACTTAGCTTTTCACTTTGATAACATGCTTATTTCATGACATTAAAGTCCTGTGTATTTTATTAGAAGCAGATCAAACCATTGCAAATCAGTTACGACTTACTTAACGGTTACTTAATGTGCAAATATTTCCAAAGGTGGCAATAAAAGGG